ACTTTCATAGCTCTACAATATCCCCTGTTTAAATGGGGCAACCTGAATCTATGGTGTGGTCACATTTGAAATACACTGTTCCAAATGTGACCACATCATAGATTTTTCTCAAACATGCCATTTTGTTTTCAGTCTATTTTCTAACAACTCAAAGCTTGGAACTTCCCTGTGTTTGATGCATTCATCGCTAGGCAAACTACTGATTGTACAGAATCAAAATACCGCAGAATAGGCAAAATACCTACTTCTCAGCTAATGCTGAGATTATAATTATGTAAATCAATTTAATCAGGAAAGTATTGCTGCAATGACTACTAATGTCACAAAGGCACTCAAGATTTATATGTGCAACAGCTTCACTTTAGTTTTTTCTTTAACCACTAGAAAACAGATGCAAAGATTTCTTGCACTTTTTTTTAGCATTCTACCCAATAAAATTCTCCCACAGGAGTCAGATGTAGAAGATTATACATACTGAGTTCACAGACATTCTTTTTGCCTGAAACTGCTTCCCAGAACATTTGCATAAAAACCCATCTTTTCCATGGACAGTTTGGTACACCCCCTCCCCCTTCAGCACTGAAAGAAACTTAACCACATGCAACTGGAATAAATGTATATTCTTCACCCATTTATCCCCAACTCATTCCCATTCTCTTGTTGGCTATAGCCATTGTTTTATTAACATTGGAAGCCACCTTGAGTTCTCCAATGTAGAAGGGCAGTTAATAAATGTTTTTTTAATATATTTTATTATTATTATTTTTAAAAAATATTGTTTATGAGATTTTGAGTCCCATTGGACAAAGACCTGGCTTCAATTTGTTTGAAGAAATGCACTTTTTCTTTGTTGGTGATATGAGCAAAACCTTCAGGTTGTGTTTTTAAAGTCCCCCCCCCGGGCAAAGAACAGGTAGGGAGGAGGAAGTCAGTCAATGGCTTTCTAGGCTCACCTCAGCTACGTCTTAATAAATGCTAATAGGTCTAGCTAGAGAGGGTCCATTCCCCCCCCCCCCCCCAAGCAGGGAACATAAATTTGGAGGAATTAAATACTAGAGAGACTTCAGGAAGGAAATTTCTGGAAACTTCAGGAAAAGCTTCTCTGACCTGACTGGGACAGTGGGAGGGTAAAGGGGGAAGATAAAACTCCTGGGAGCAAGGGGGAAGGGCTCTTTTGTGCTGGGCCCGTCAGAGCAGACAGAACTCTTAGTGGAGGTCTGGAGGAAGCGACCATTGACCATGTGGTGGCCTGGAGAGCTACTGAAAGCTTCAAGGTAATGGTAACTCAGTAGAGATTTGTCACTTCCTAAGCTAAGCTAATTTCTGATAGGACATGTATAGAGACAGGGACAAAGGATTTGTGTTTTACCCATTTCTTTTGAATCCCTTGCTCAATCTGGTGCTGTGCTAAAAGTATGCTTGTGAACATTTTCTTTTAAATAAATACTTTATAAATTTTTATGCTGGTAGTGGTTCTCTGTACTATACTCTAACATCTAGGACATACTATTTTAAAAGTAGTGCCAGGAGTGGAAGACAGGCAGTTGGCAAGTGGCTGTTCCTCCAGGGGTGCACAAGGCAGTAAACGGTCCCCGTGGTTACCAGGCACTGGGCAGTGGGAGACACAGAGGCAAGGCCTCAGAACATGGAAGGGAAGCTGGGAGTCCTAACCCTCCCAGAGGGCAATTCTTTACAAACAAAGGTCAGGTGGTGGCAGGTTACAGGAGAGAGAGAGAGAAAAGCCTCTTCTGGTGTTGGGAAAACCATGGAGGACAGGGTGGAACAGGGCCTGCAGGCCGGAGAGGGCCCATTCCACCACACAAATATTATAATAATAATAATAATAATAATAATAATAATAATAATAATAGTATTTTCTGCAGTTCTTGACATTTTAAGAGGACAATATATTGAGGTTTTGTACACTACTCCAGAAATAGGAGCTAGTTTGTGTTTTCTTAAAATCTTGTGTCACAGGGAAATTCTCATTTTCGGGACTCCAGCTGCAGCATGAGATTTTCACTTTGAAAATGACAGCCTTCTGCATCTATATCAAGGAACTCCATATTTGCAATATACTACTGGCTTTTAGGAAGCATTTCAAAAGTATCTGAGAATTCACTAAAGTTATTGACTTTTGTTTCAATAGATGATCAATCTTATTCTCTCATCTGTCGATGTGGTGGGAATTACAGTATCTCCAAAAGCGAAGCTGAAGATGTTTCTCTAGTATGCTGTGACACTTGTTCGCTAGTTATAGAGATCCTTCGATGATCCAACATTATTTGATTCAAGCATGTGAAAAAGGGAAAGGAAGCACCTGCTTGTGGACAGACAAGAATGAATGGATCAGTAAAAACATGGGAAAATACACAGAAAATGTTCATAAGTATGCATTTTAAATTGTAGTTCTTGTATTAGTGTTGCTTGTTCTTTCCCATTTTAAATACTGACCTTCCTCAGTTTACTCACGGCACATAAGTAAATCCCATACTGTAGTGAAGAGGTGATTACTTTTGTTGGATTTCATTTGATATGGGACACGTGATAGCATACTTGGGACAGAAAGTATAAGCAAAATGTAATTTGTTGAAAGCAGATACTATATATTATCTTAAATTGCAGTTCTTAAAGATGGGATGGTGAGGCCTTTTTGTGCTGCAGTGGGACGGAGGAAGTCAGCAAAAATCACCACCCCGATTCTTACACAGACCCCTATTCTTAATTCTGCATATGTGGTGGAGGTCATGTAAGAACAGTGGTTTTTGCTGATTTACCCGTTTGTTGGAGGAGAGAGCAAAGGCATGTCTGGAAACTTGCTCCTTTTGTGGGTGGCTGGAACCAGTTTACATTATTGAAGTAAAAGACTTCTTGCTTAGCAGTGCTCCTTTATTACAATGGGGGTCATGTAAAAGTTCACAATGGCTTCCCCTCATTGTTATATAGCAATCTGAGCATTTGTCTACCTGGTGCCATAGTAGTTAAAAAGAGTCCCCCTCTACAATTGTATATGTCTTCGTTCTTTTCAAGGCGGTTATTTAATTTACTTTAAATAAATGAAAAGCAATGTGATTCGGACATTTTTAAAAAATGCATGATTTGTGAACAACTACTGGGATAATCTCTGTATCCTTTGTAAATATGCATTTTATTAAAAAGAAAAGAAAAGAAATGAAAGTATAATGACCCAAGATTGTTAGAAGGATTTGTATGTGGGATAGATGAAAAGTGTTGTATAGTTTTAAACAATTTGTATTTAAATCCATAGGGAATCTTAACTGCACAATTTTTATGGTATATAAAATATCTTTATGGAGGTTTTTTTTAAGGCTATAGAAGAAATCAGATGAGCATAATTCATTCAGTCCTTACAAATCCTGTTACTATTGGGACTTGCACGTAGAAATCCAAAATCAGTCAGAGGCCATAGCTATAAAAGAAAAATAAATATGTTAGATTACTGGTCACCTTCTCTTGTTTGCTTTCTTGTCTTTCATCGTCATTTCAGCTAAAAGTGAAAAACTATAAATGCTACAAGCAAGTCCACAGCAGGTCCTGTTTACAGCACAACCCTAAATTGGAAGAAGTGTGCATACACATGAAGGCTTATATGCAGAATAAAACTTCGTTGGTCTTAAAGGTGCCATTGAACTCAAACTTCATTCTGCTACCACTACCCACCATGGTATATGCCTTGAGAGAGAAAACATAGTGTTTCAAGGCTACCCCACCTGAATCTATCTTAAACAGAGTTACACATGTGAAGTGAATGGGCTAAGAAGGTTGTGACTCTACTTAGGTTTCCACTGCCAGTTACATCAGTTAAAGATGCTCATGCACACCCAGAAGCAAAAAATCTGTATCATATAGAAGATTTATCACCAGTCATAATCAGACGCACTTGGTTTGGATACTCGTCATTACAGAAGTTAATTTTAGAGATGGTATACCTGTGTGTTAGCACTACTGACATATGTCTGGAAACCAGATGCACACATCTAAAGCAAATTTGGGGCAAGGCTACCTGAAGAACTATGGAATCCCCACCCTCAGCCAAATTATTTGACCACATGCCTTCTGTAAGTATACAAAGATGGGAAACTGGCTATAAGCTGCCAATTAGGGATGGGCATGAGCTGGCTCATGAACTAAAGTTCGTGATGAATTTTGGTTGGTTCACAGTTCACGAGCTGAAGTTTGTGGCAGGTCAACCGGCATAAACTTTCAAGCAATCCCTGAATGGATACATTTCCAGACAAACTGTCTCTGCTCAAACATAATGTTTACCAAACTTCAAAGCAACAAGGGGGGCAGAATTCTCCAGCCTTGAAAACACCAATAGGTTTCCTGTGTGTTTGATGTGTGTAACTTGCACTTTTGAGCCTGCACCTGACATTTCCCCAAAAGCACTTTCCCGGGGGTATCTGGGGGCACCCCGCCCTGAGCCTGCAGGGTATAAATCAATTAAATCCAGCCGAAGCACAACTTGGATCCCCTAAGTCCAATCTGCACAAAACTGGCAGGAAATATAGAGGTGCATCAAAGGGAGGTCCCCTGCAAACTTGATGTCTTTAGCTTGCACAGGGTTCACTCTATACACTCCTGAACCTACGCCTGTCAAAATGACCACATGTCATTTCCCCAGAAAGCACTTTCCTGGGGGCACTTTATTTGGGGGGGGGGGTGTTAACTCAGACCCCATGAATTGAATCCTCACCAAACTTGGAGGTGAGGTGGTGGAGAGTCAGTTGGAGATCCCCTGTGAGTTTGGTGTCCCTAGAATGCTACAGAGAGCATTCTACCTTGTCACGAACTGAACCAGTTTGTTTGGCAGCTAAAAGTTTGTGACAGTTCGTGGTTTGCGAACCGGGCATGCCATGAACCACAAACCGAACCACATTTTCCTAGTTAGTGCCCATTCCTACTGCCAGTATTTCAGCAGTCAACAATCCAGCTGAAGCACAATGCTCCACCTAGCTCTTATCTCTGTGTCTTGGAGACAGCAAAAGCAAGCATTTCTGGGGAGGAGGGATGAATGAGCACAAAGCCTGGCATCCAGTTTTCAGCACTCTGGATATTAAGATTAAATGAAAGGGGCTGGGAACAACCAGAAGGCTTAATGAAAACTGGAGCTTGGTTGCGATGTCATCCCATAGTAAGATACCAGAGTAGATGAAAACATCCCCAAACTGTATTTTATCATTCTGTGTAAATCTCCTGGGGCATCCTTCTGGATCAAAAGGATGGGTGGAAGCCAATTTATTTAATTGGAAAAAAATGTTTCAGATAGTTTTTGGAAACTGAAATGTTTTAACCTGTTCTCATACCCAAGTATTTTAACTGTTTCATTATATTTTTATAGCAATTTGAAAGGTTCAGATGAGAAGGGGATTGAAGTGGGAACTAGAAAAACTCTGACGTCTATTAAAAATAGGAGGCTGGCCTAGATGGATTTCAGTAGAATTCTTATGTTCCAAGCATTTAAAAATAACTACAGCAAAGAGATTATCATGTTACTACATTATATGTGTGGCTGTAGTTAATATAAAAAGTAATGACTTTTTCATTACTGTGGGCTTTTCACTCACCAGTATACAATCTCATTGAAAAATATAATTAAATATGCATGCATGTGCCCCACATAAATGTTAAATATACATCAAAATTCCAATGAAAATGCTATTATCTGCCACCTCTCTGAACAAGACTTAAAACACATATTTTCTGCTTCAACATGGACTGATTACACCTGATTTCCTGTCCTCGCCACCCACCAAAAGCCATGTGGCATTTTATCCAGGAAGGTCTGCTGCTTCTTGATATTTGGGAGTTCATACAGTTGGTAGTGGAAGACTGAGGAGACCTGCTGCTTCTGACCTCCTTATGATCACAGATAGGCAAATTCAGCCCACTGTGTTTACCTTTCTTTAACCTTATTTTAGTTGATAGTACTTGTAACTTTTGTCATGACATACTGGGCACAGATCCAAATTACTCCTTATATGAGTCAAAGGCACTTCCATTTATTAATGCATCAATTGCTGTTTTGGAGGATTTCCCCAAGGGTTCTTCTGGGGACAGAAAGAGCTGCTTGGAAAGGAAGGTGGGAAAGCACAATTCTTTCATCAAAATCAGAATATGGAGCAGGCTAGAATATGCTTCAGTTGATTGGACAACACGGATGTCATTTTGCAGTACTGCACTTTCATATACTGCCTTCAATGAGGAATACACAGTCAACAGTATTTATTCTTTTCCCCCTCATATATAAAAGTAGGTTTGAAATTCACTTGGCTCATGTTTTACACATCTTTAAGCACAGTAGTCATTTGAGAAGATCATGTTCTCCTGAAACACTTTAACACCCCAGTCCATGTGCTGCACTAGATAATGAAAATGTCTCATAGTGGTAGTATAGGGCCCCCAAGACTTATAAAAACTGTTAAATTAACACATTTTAGATTGCAGAAGAATACCTTAAAGCAAATACGTCCTTTTATCAACCCATATGGAACAGGACCGTAACACCTGGAGTCAGTAGAATTTCTGAGATTATCACCTTCTAACCAAACGTGTCCTTTAGGTACCTGAGAAAGATCAAAATTAAAAGACAAATATGTAGTCGAAGGAAAATGGAATCATCTCCCAACAGTACAATCTAATTTTACCATTCAGCATGCAGATATGATGAATGAATGGACACTTCCCTGAAACAGAGTAGATGAGAAAAAAAATCCAAGTATCTATTCTTTCACATGCTCCAAAAACACTATATTGCAACAAAAAGCACCCAAATGAAGATGTAAGAGGTTAGACCAATGTGACAGGGTCATTTATTTAATAGACTTCAAAAGAGGTCGTTAGGATGTTGACTGAAAATCTGCCCTGCTGTCGCGGTAACAGCATGAACAGGGCAGCCACACACTCATCAACATCCTGGGGCCAGTACTAAGGCTAGACCTGTTAGTAGGCTTGTGATGAACTAAATAGTAATTGATTGTGACATCAATTACGAATAATCTCATCATTTTATCAGAGAGGGCTTGTCAAAGTTCTAATTAAGATCTCAGTTCATTCTATGCACAGGCAGGATCCACAACACATAATATTGCAATAATGACCATCACAAACTGGAAAGTCTCTCCTTGTAATTTAAAAATTAATGATGGTGACCTTATCATATAACAGAGACCTTTTACTGCCTATATGGACAGTGTGTGAGCTGAATTAAATGCCATAGGTTCAGCCCTAGACTACTGCTGTGATATTTGAGATGCTATAACATAACCACAATGAAATAAAACATGAGTCCAATGGCAATTTAGACTGAATGAATTCATTCCTGCATAAGCATTCATGATGCATCAGAAACATGAAGCCGACATCCATAAGGCCAATGATTCAACAGCCTTATAGATGTATACTTCATGCATCTGATGAAAAGAGCTCTGACTCACACACTTAATTTTTTTAGTCTTTAAAATGCCAGTAGATTTCTATCTTATTTTGCTCTGAAAGCATAACTACCATCTGGAATTAACAACTGCAACAGCACCTAGGAGGAAAAAACAAATTCAAAGTTGTATGCATTTATCTAGCAGACAAAAAACAGCTCAAAATATCCAGCATGTAAAGCTTTTGAAATGAATATGGAATCAAACAGTTGAATGATTTACAATCGGCAAAGAATTCTTAATATTAAACAAACACAAGCAATAGGAAAGAAACATGACTTTAATTATACGTAATTGTCACAGATTCAAGAGCTGGCTGATTTAATTGAGTCAATATACTCTTCACACCAAGACGCAGCCCCAGGATGACTTTAAAACGAAGAAGCAGCTTATCAGGTTTCACACTGATGCTAAATGCAGGCTACCACATTTATATCCAGGCAACAGAAAGGACTTGTTAACTCCAACAGCTGGAGCAGATAAAGGGCCAGTTCAGAGGCCTGGTCCCTATAAACCTACACATAGTACAATCCTAAAAACACTTTCCTGGGAGTAAGCCCCATTGAATAAATCTGTATAGGATTCTAAGTAGACCAATTAAGGATAGCTCTGTCAAAGTAAGACTGGCAGCAGGTCTCAGGTCTCTGCTTCTCATTCTCACCACTAGGAGAAGGTAATGAGTGCACCATGAGATACAGCTTTATCTGAACGCAGATTTTCCATGCAAAATAGACTCTGAAGGCCAGGTAATAGCTAGAAAGGCCTAAAATCTATGGATCAGTTTATCTCAGCTACTTTCGCAATCACCACAACATTCTCTGCTCAGAAACATTATGGTCAAGCAGTTACAATGCCAGGCAGCAGTAAGGCTCAACAGTAAGCCAGAACACAATAATATAACTTAGTGCAAGGGGATGAAGATAAAATTAAAAGATTTACAGGGGACAGCATAAAATTAAGCATTAAAAAATAGTATGCTAACACAGCTAAAATGCTGGACATAGCTAGATGTGGAAACTGTTATTAAGCAGGCCAATATACCTAGATCTAATGGAAGTTACCATTCCATTGCAAATCCACAAGAAAAGAAAAGCAAACCTGTTAGCACAGTTGGCAAGCATGAATCATTCTAAGTTGCTCAAAGGAAAATCATACCCTCTTTTAGTACTTACTTCGCTGTAAGTGCAAGTATAGCAAGTGATAGTGTCAGACAGGTGATTTTGAAACAATTCAAAAATATTTGGGTTGCTCTTCAAAATGGACAAGATCTCAGAAAAAAGTAAGCATGGCCCCGGTCACACGGCAAAGTTGCCGCGGGAGAGGCACGGGAGTCCCACGGAATTTCCGGGCGCGATCTGACCCCAACATCTGGGAAGCGCAGTGCTCCCGTGGCGAACCCGTGGCTCCCCGCCGAAGGTGCGGAGTTAAAAACTAGTACCTATGAGGTACTAGTACCTATGAGGTACTAGTTTCCTGAAACCGCGGGCCAAGGGCGGGCGTCTGATCGCGTTCCCGGTGGACTTACGTGGCATCCGGAGCCTGCCGCTGTTCGTCTCCGCAGGTTGCGCAACAGCACCCAACAGCGCATGCACACAAAGAGCGATTGCTAGTGCGATCGCGCGACGCGGCTTCTGTGCCACGCTGCAGGATACCCGTCTGATTGGCATTTCCCCCGAACCACGGGACCTCGACCGGGACGTATGCTCGGGCAGCCGCGCGTTAGTTTCCTCTGGGGCAATTAGCCACGCCTCCCCCCCGCAATATCCGGCCCGTGTGACCGGGGCCCATGAGGAATAAAAGACATTCACCTATTGTTTCTGCAATATTTTGGGCCAAACTGTACCTAATGGTGCACTTCTATGTGTTTAGAAGCAAAAGTCAATATGTTTATGCATGTTATTTACCATTCTGCAGCTCCTTCTGCACAAATGGTCTTTTCCCAACCGAGGCCACTTCTTTCATTGGAGCTTAACTAAGAAAGAAAGTTACTGAGGGAGGCAAACTAATGTGAATTAAACTTCAGGCAGGGGCTTTTTCTCCAACATGCCAGTTTTACTTTTAAAAGTCACACCCTTCTCAATTCACACCACTCCCTCTGTATGACTATGGCAATTCTGGAGTTAAAATACAGAACCAATTACAGGGGGAGGCTTTTGCTTTCCAGGCACAACCAGGCAAGAGAAACAGAATGCTGAATCTGATGGGTTTTTGGTTGATTCAGTAGGGCTCTTGTAAAGCTCTTTTGTTAGAAACGTGTGCTGCCATCACATCTAGCTTAGCTCTTATTACAAAGGGATTACTGAGCAAGATGTTGGAGCACCTTCCCTGCAAGGAAAGGACAAAGGGTTTGGGGCTTTAGGGAAAAAAGATAACGAAAGAATTTGCAAGCATACAATGGAGTTGGATAGCCAGTACATTCATCACAGCCTAAAGGAAATGCTTCTTCATAAAATCCATAATTAATTTGTCACAGTATGTAGTGATGGCCACTATCTTAGATTATGGATTAGTCAATTCATGCCAGATAGGTCTGTCAGGCAACATTAGTTACACAGAACATCCATATTTGGAGACCATGTACCTCTGAATACCAGTGGCTAGGGGACAACTACAGTGGGGGGGACGCATAGTGCTAGACTAGATGAACATTTGGTAGACCTTCTGAAGCTCTTTTGTTAGGAAGCATATTTTAGGGATGTTGAGCCTGCCTCAGATTTGAACAGAGGTAGAATGTATGCCACACACATGCAAAGAATACAAACTGTCAGGCTGACCATCTGAACTTTGTAGTTTCCCATTCAAATCTGCATTTCGGTACAAACAACACAGCTGTACTTTAATTAAGAGGAATACCAGAATAAATATATGGATAAGAATATTTGACACACATCACAACATTAATTTATGGGAGCAATATATGCGGTATATATGCCACGTACACATCACTAATATTTACTTCGTTTAAAATGGAGACATTTCCCCTGCAGCACAATTATTCATTATTTTAATACAAACCCCTTGACTGTAACTATTTTTCACAAGGAAAAAAGTTCTTCAATAAAGCACTGCTCTGCGTTGGCATGCAAAAAGTCTTCCAAGGGTGATTTCCATAATTTTAATTTTATCCTCACAATAATCCTAAAAGGTTAGATTTGTTGGAATATACAAGGTCTATAGTGCACCTACTTGAAGAAGATCAGAAAAACAGCCTATAGGGGACAGCTGAAGGACTGGTAGTTAGCATAACTAGATTAGGGACTTCCCACAGTTTCAGATTTTGTAATTCCTGTACCCTGATTGACTCTTTGGAGTCTTGCTGTTCCAACTGAACCATCCTCCTTCATTCCTGTCTCACAGCAGTTAATCACTTAGTTAAAGTCTCTCTCCCTCTCCTATCAAAGTTTATTTCTTCTTTAATGAACTGAGTTATTTTCTTTAAACAGTTGGTGCTCTGCTCCTCTGCATTTTTAAACTCTGCCAACAAGACTGAGAGACAGTGACTGCCCAATGTCATCATGTGAATGGAGCAGGGATTTGAACCGAGATCTCTCAATTCTAACTCTATTCACTACACCACATCAGGTCTCATTTCTTTGCACCCCACTGGCAATAGAGTTTAGCATCTCTTGCATCTCTACCTAAATATCTCCCCAAGTTACTAAGCCAACTGCACTTTTAACACATACACTAAGATCCTTCATAAACAGGATTCTTCATTCATTTTGGGCACAGACTTCCACTTAATTCAGGGAAGATTGTCTAAAAAGCTGAGCAAGCTCTAAATATATTATGGACCATTTGTACCTGCAAGAGATCACTGGATCAGATTATATGGCAACAAAGCAGAAAACAGATATCTTGTGTACATATTAAATTTGCAGCCACTATGCTGTAGTACAATGTGTACTTGGAATACATCCCTACCTTAGAGCAAATCTAGAGAGGAGGCATGGAGATCTATGACTGAATGACCCTTTAATCTCTTAAAAGAAAGAAAAAACCAGTTGGGATGGATAAGGAAACTGGATTGCTGCCATGGCACAGGAGAGGTGTACCTCTCTTTCACCTGTATCATTTCTCTACCACTACCCCACCCCCATGCTAATTGCCTTGAGAGAAAAAACATACAGTCT